TATATATATATATATATACGTGTATTCAGTACGTTTGAATCGACAATTGAAAATCCAACCCTTCCGTGACTTTATGATCCACGCGATTCAATGGGTTGAGCGAATTATCAGCAGGAGATGAGATTTTTATTAAAAAGTTGACGGTGCGTAGAAATCTCGTATTATTACGGGCATAAGGTCGACAAAGTAGCTTTAAAAGCGTCGAGAAATAATATTGAATTTCGAACAGTCGGACGAAAATATATACATATATATTACTTGCGTCGACTAGAATGGTTATTCGTTCTGTGAAAAGCGATGTATACACATAAACTTTGAACAAATCGTGTGTAGATTATACTCTTTCTATTCCAATTAAAAATCTTTGTATTGCAATGTGTTATTGTGTGTTATAAATATTCCAATTCTAGATTATTTTACTTTTTTATTTTTTTTTATACAATAAAATTTGCAATCACGAATGCGAAATTTTTCGTGTAAAATAATGAAAATGCATTGAATCAGGAGATAAAGAGAAGCAATGTCAATGAAGTCACTTTTTGATTCATTTCCGATATCTCAATTAATTAATACGAGAATTCGATGTGTTTATATAGAGATTACGAATGGACCTAGTGACCTATTTTTTCCTGGAAACGCGTACGTTTTCTAGGAATAGCGTACGTTTTTCCAGGAATCGCATCTGTCGCTCACAATTTATAGGGATAGATCGGCGAGAGACAAGGTGCGAGCGAGATAAACACGGACGAAGATAGACGATCAAAAATTACCTTTTCCTTTGCACGACGATATCTCGACAACCGAAACTCGTATCGGGATGAACGAAAAAGCGTTTTAAAGAGGAAACTACCTCGTTTCCAACGATCGCTCACTCGACGATTGAAAGTAATTATTTTCGGAGTTATAGCGGTTCAAAGTTTTTCCTAATTTTAATAATGAATGATCGAAATTATCTTTTCTTTGAACGACGACGATATTTTGAAAATATATCAAAATTCGCATCGAAATAAATCGAGATGAGTTTTAAAGGGTTAGAGATTTTTTTAGATCGAGTTTTTTAATCATGAATAACTAAAAAAGAGAAAAACGAAAATTTTTGAAATGGACACCGTATATGCATGCTACACTGTATACATTTAAAACTTGGCAAAGAAGTATTTGTCGCAGAATAAGAAAGACGTTATATTGCTATTCTACGTGCTATGTATTATAAAATTTAAAGAAAAGAAATCAATAAAATTTTCTTTTTATAGGATGGTTTCGTATTGGTTGGCAGCGTCGCTGGCCAAAGGTATTGGTCATCGATGCTGAACGACAAAGCTACCATTACTTGTGGTATTTGGACGCCAGACGATCAGCAGGTAAATCAAGCATATAATTACAAAATTACATCACGTTTATTACGTAAATTATATCGAACAAAATAGTGTTAAAAACTTTAGATGTTATCGACGTGTTATTATCGCCCCTTTTTACCTCTTTCTTAATGAAATATCATGTTTACTCTCACGTAGCGTAACAACTATCTACGAAACAAGATCTAAACTTATACAAAGCTTATATTTAAAAGCAACGTTTTATAGAATAATCTAGGAAAAATATCTCGTCCATCCACCGTGACGAATAACTATTCAATTTGTATCAATTTATGTAAAATATTTAAATGATGTATACGCACATTTTAACATTTCAAATAATAAACGAATAATAAATTACACGAGAAATAAATTGCTCGCGTTACTTCATTTACCATATATTTAAATATATCATATACGTGAAACACGATAAGACCGGTGTCTTATGTGTTCAGGATCCTCGTAGCTCGCAGTAATTATGGGGTAACGTTACATTCTATCATGGTTCCCGGAATTTAACGAGTAAAAATTATTTATTAATAAAAATTATTAAGGATTGAGAGGCGTTCATCGTGAAAGACATTAAAAAAATCGTAATGTACATTAAATTGGATTTATTCTTTTTTTTTTTTTGTCTTAATTTAAAAATTCGTATCAACAGGTTTATTTTGGAACAACGGCTGGACAATTAATAGTAATGGATGTTCACGGGGCGATGGTATCCGAGGTGCAATTGGCGGCCGGTGTCACTTCGATGGCATGGAGCGCTGAAAAATTTACCATGGAGGAAGGGGACGACGATTTAACGAACGATAGGTCTCATAAAGGTAGCGCAATTTTCTGTAAAAAATGGCGCGTTTATTATACCATTTTATTAGCCTCCCATGTGCGAAATGTTGCATTGAAACGAGCCATAATATGTTATTTAAATGTGTGTGTACATATTTAATCACTGGTATATACAACTTGGATTTATTATTTCTGGAAATCTGGATTCGGTGAAAAATACTTTCGTTTGGAAGGAAATAAAGAATTACGAGGAAGCAAACTTTTTTTTCCCTCTTTTTTAAGATTTTAGAGAAATAGAAGCGATAACAATTTTCCCCTGCTAAATCTCTGAATTTTGCAATTCGTTCCGCGCAAACCTTCTGTATTATTCATTCAAATTGTTCGTCGCAGAGACGGTTGCTCACGAGCTTGATTTGGAAATTCTACCCACAATCTCGTATTTCCTCTTTTCAGCCTAAAATCTACATGAAATACATTGAATTTACGTGAATTTATAATAAATGTTACTCGTGGGTTAGAAGCGAGGAACAGGATTCTAATCTTTTTTTTTTATTGTCCTTTTAAAAAAAAAAAAAAATTGTCCCCCTTTTATCTCCTTGAATATCATCATCGATGAAACAACGAAGGAATCACGTGTTCACAGACGATCGAAATTACGTGCTAGCCGTTTGTCTGGCCGATGGGAATATAGTTATGCTGCGTTCGTTCGACGACGTCTCGCCAATCACGATACGTACAAATCTGAAGGCTCCCCTGCACGCGGAATGGAGCAATTCGAGAAAATTGTTGGCCATAGCAGGGACGAAGGATTCGGATAACGGTCAAGGCAGCCCTCACGAGTACGCGAACCTTTTAAAATTTTATTCTGTCACCGGTACGCTTGTCTACACCGCTGCGATACCGTACACGCAAGTAAGTGGAACATAACCTCTCTTTCTAGACCACCAGAAATTACTTTTTCTCTCGTAAAAATTTCCCCTTACGGCTGACTTTTCGCCGAGTTAGATCACTCGTTTGTTGATATAATTATATTTAATTTCATTAAAATTTCATTAAAGAAAGAAAAAAACGTAAAGAAATTTTCCTCGATTGACGGTTATCATTTGTCAGTGTCCAGTATCGGCGCTCACGTGGGGTCACAACGACAGACGACTTTTCGTGGCGACCGGTGCACGCGTTCACGCCGCATGGGTGTCAAGGTAATAGATGAAACTGTTCGTTTCATCGCCTTTTTTTAATTCTAAACTAGAAGTTAACTAAAGTGTTTGATATACGATATATACGTTCTGCAGACGAGTAGGTTCGCTGCAATTGTTGTCTCGTTTAGCTGTGAGAGCATCTTTGACGAGGGAATCGAGCGTTCAGCAACTTCCATTGCCGCCGAGATTAAGAGCGTCAGTGGCAGCCCTCTTCGCCAGTACAATAAGGTAGCAAAATCACTTAATCCACGATTATATATCGATATGCACACAGAAG